TAACTGGTACATAATGAAAGTACAAAAGGCGACGATTTAAACTTTTCTAAGGTGAAAAAGCAGTTTAATATAAGCGTGGTGGAGTTTTCTTGCCTCAAAATTTTGGTTTCACACATTACACAAACACAAATTCATATCAAAATCATTGACATGGAAATGTCTTGTGACTGATCAGAACAAGCAGAAATAACCATAATGAATAATCTATTCTTTTGGATATTGTTATGATATGAATATTTAGTTCTTATTTAGTTCTTATTTATTGGTTAATTCATATTATAAATTTAATTGGATAATATTTTATTATATTTTATTGGTTAATTTTATATTTATATTTTATTGGATAGTTATTAAAGATAGTTATTATTTTATTGGACAATTATATATTAGATATTATTGGTTTTTAAATTTATTTATTGATCTATATAATCAAATTTGATTGATATTAATGATAAAATTTATGTGATATTAAAATAAGCAAGTGATGTATAATCAAAAAGTGAGCACTTTTTGTAACCTTAATATCAATCAAAAATAGCTTTAATATTTGAAAATTGAGTAATAATAACTTATATAAATATAGCTTATATCTTAGCTTAAATTAATAGTTTAGCTTAGCTCTTAGATTTAATAGTTCTCAGGATCTCAAGAATAATAAATAATAATTAAAAACATATAATAAATTAATAATAAATTCATTTAATAATAAAATTATACTTTATTATTATTGAATTATAATCTTATAATGAAATTACATATTTATTACATAAAATTCTTTAATTAAATATTATTATTAAAAATTTCAGATCTTATTCTAGCTGATTATGTCATGAACATATTGTTATCTTCCTTTAGATTTATTTATAATTATAGTTTAATGCTTGATGCATTATATAGATTTGATTATATTATACTCTCCTATCTGTCATTCTTAATAAACTTTACTATAATTATCCTGGTCAAATAACTTATTATAATGTTATTAAGCACTTACCAACTCTCTCAAGAACTTATATAAAATGATAATAATTTTTTTTGGTGTCTTTCTGTAGACGAAATGTGATTTTTTACCTCTTATTATCAAGAAGAAAAGAAGTTATTGCCAAAGAAAGTAATTAAATAAAGAGAAAACTATAATAATTACAAATATGGTGACATCATCAAAAAGTCATATGAGATTACATTTCACGTGTCATAATCAATCAATCAAAATTTGGAATTATCAAAAAGCTTAAATTTGGTATCTAAAGCATTATAAATATTACGTTACAAAATTTCAGTCAAAATTATGAATTACATGATATTAGTCACATCATTAGCCACCAGTCAATTAAATTATATATAAACAAAGTTATATGATCAATGAGTGAAATTTGAAAACACACACTTTATTAAATAATGACTTCTTTAAAGAAAAATAGAAGCCGTAAAGTCTTCCAAACGACCAAACAAAGTGAAAAATAGAATAAATAAGGTCTTCATACAGCACACACAACAATAATAACTGTATTAGTTAATCAATGATAATTTTGTTAACAATTGTATTTTAAAATATAAATTAATATAAAATAAAAAGTATTTATTAAATTTTCAATATAAAAAAAATAATTTTGATTTTTATAAATAAAATAGAAATTTGAAACTAAAATTTTAATTTTCTACTTATTAATATTATAATGAAATATTATCTAAAAAAATAAAACTTATTTTTTGTTACAAAGTATTATATATATCTTTACGAAATAAATTTATTATTAATAAATATTATTTAATTGAAATCATAAAAAATTCAAAACAAAATTGTGATTATTATACAAAACAATTATTATTTGAAAAAAAACTATAATTTTTATAAAATTAACACACAATATTAACAATTTGAATAATTTCTCTTAATAATATTTGTGTTTATTAAATTTACAACCAAATAAGTAAATAAGTAAATTATAAGCTGTTGTTGAATATACAAATTAAATTTTTTAGAATAATAAAATTCCAAATTGGTAACAAAAAAATTATACTAATCATAATCAAAAATAAAGTATTTTAATACAAAAAAAACTCGCATAAAATGAATAAAGTCCATATCCAACCCAATGAAAAAAATTATTTAAATACAAAAAAGAGAATTGATAGTCTTTGATTCACAATTAGCTAAATAGCAATAATAATAATAATAATAATAATAATAATAATAATAATAATAATAATAATAAATAGCTATTAATAAAAGTCAAAAAGAAAATTTCAAAATTATTTCGAGGCACCCAATATTTGAATACACATCTGTAACGCTTTCGAAACGAGTTCAGGATCAGTAATAATTGTATCCAGCACCTTGGAATATGCACCGACTTTTTTAAGAGCTAATGTCGAGATGGCATTCTAAATAAAGTTGAACTCGATTAATTGATTGATTATTTGAATGCATAATAAAATCAATTTGAATATAAAATTATTACATACCTCAATTCGAGTAATTAAACTTTCAGTTATCCGTAATAATTCTTCGTCATCAGCATTATCTTTTACATGAAAAGTTAAAAGACCAGTTAAATAGTCAGTTCTTGAATTTCGCGTCCTACGAGTATTCACATAGCCCGATGCTACACGTTCCAATCGTAGGCATAAGTATCCGAGAGCACGAATAGACGATGGATCAAGAATTTGAGTTGATGGTTCGTATATTTTCTGTATTAAATAAATAAAGTTTGTAAATTAGTAAATCCACTTTTTAATATTAAAAAACACAATAATCAACCTCTGGTGTAATCACGGAGCTTCTTTGGTTTGCTTTTTTTTGATCTTCTTCCAAACGACCTTTTAGAGGTTCAGGATAAATCTAAAGGAATTAAACCGTTTGTCTTATGAGATGCCAACGTTATATATGAATGAATACTTGGATACAGACGTGTAAATATATTAGTACTTACCAATGATAATTCTTCGGGATTTTCTAAACCTTTTAGTTTGGTTTCACCGATTTTTCTTACGACAAAACCCATTTTTCTTAATGAGAGTATAGTTTTGTCTATACCACTATTGCTGCTAAGACTTGGTGGTCCCTCAACCCGACCATTTGACTCAAGTGCTGCGGCAGCTGCAGCTGCGACTTCATATTCTCCCTCAGCATCTTGACTATTCTTTCGACTTGTTCCCATCGTCGGATCATTGTCTATCATTGCCTCTAATAGGCGTATCTCACTCTCAACATCAGCACTAACACAAATTTGACCACCATCAGCCGCGTTACATATTCTTGCAGCTCTATTGACCATTGGTCCAAAGTAGTCCATTCTTTTCGTTATTGGATCAATTTCGCATACTGGTGAACCCCAATGAATTCCCATTCGTACACTTAATCCACGATATATTAAGTCCGAATCGTGTCCACCATAAACCTCTTTACCATCCACCAATTCCAAAAGTTCATTCGGCCAATCGGCTCGTAATAATTGCATTTGTACCGTGAAACACCATAATAATGCAGACGACACAGTGGGAAAAGAAACCATGAAAGCGTCACCTTCGGTTTTCACTTCATAACCACCAATGTTACGTAATTGTCTACGCATAATTGAATTATGTGATTTGATTGCGTGTCGCATTGCAATTGGTATTGTCTCCCATAAGAACGTAGAATTTTTAATATCGGTAAAAACTAAAGCTATTTTTCCGGTCGGTGGTTCAATCTCTTTTTGCAATCGTGCTATTGTTGAGTCACTCGGTTTGTCTTCATCTCGACGACGAGCACGAATATAATAAGTATTTCCTACAATGTTATTTGAATTGTCGGTTCCTTTAGATTCCCATTTTCTTGTTCCTCTTCCGAAGATATCTTCTACTCCAACTATCATCACCATAATGCTATCCTCGGCACCATAAGCGATGGCAAAATCACGTAGCTTTTGAGCAGCGCGCATCAAATCTCCTCGTTCTGTGTATTCATTATATGCAATGTCCACTGCAGTCTGATAAGATATTCGATCCCATAATCCACGGGTGGCTATTATAATAAATTCATCTTGTTCTTCAAGATGAACAATTTCAACAGTTGGATTTGCATTAATAGCAGGTATCAGATGAAAATGCCCGAATGAACGTGACACTTCTAATTCCCCATTAACTAAACGTTTGTGGGAAATAAATCCGCCAGCATTTCGAATCCTTGCTATTTCCGATGGTGTCATTGGTGAATGTTTTTGTGCAATTGGTGATGCATTTCCCCTGTTACGAGATATTACAGCAACAATATCACCGACGTTCGCCACATACAATGTTGTGCCTTTTATATACGCGATTAAACCAGAAGCACCGGATTTATTGTCGTCGATACCGAGATTTGAAGCCGCATTTTTTTCACGTTGAAAATCTAAATTCATCTCTAAATTGGAGTTGAAGACTTTAGCACCGAGTTCTTTATTTAAACTCAAGAAAGAACGACGTAAAGCCGATTCAATTGTATCATTATTATCTCTTAATTTTTTCAGTTCCGAACTGAAATGGAATGGGAACCAATCATGTAAATATTTAGTGACTCGACCTCCTTGATTACTACCGACACGACTATCAAACAATCCAAATAGGCATTCATCCTCTCGATTATTAAATTTTGGGACTACGGCTTCCCAGGTGGATAAATGCTCTAATTGTCCTAATGTGTCGGCCATTCCATATGCCATTGAATTCACTTCTGAGCCAGAAGTACGAACTCGTCTGTCTTCTGAATCATCAGGCACCGAGAGATTCAATAGAGTGACATCCATTAAGCCCAAAACACGTAATCGTGATAATGAATCAAACGCGGCCAAGTTTCTGTCTTGCATCTTCTTGACTTCGTGTAAATGATTTGGCTTTATTTCAAACCGTTTATTTCCCGATAAATTAAGATATTTCAATTCGATATTCCAATTCCTATACAATTAATGATTTAAATTATTGAGAATGATTTAAAATAATCATTTTTTTTCTTTCGTCAATACTCACCAATTCCAATCAAATTGCCAGTTCGCAATATTATATTTTAATGCATTACTGCCAACATCCAACACTAGCAATTTTCGTATTTTACTTAATTCAGCTGGTAATGTCTGTAGTTTATTCCCGTTCACGTGCAACACTCGAAGACTTGTCAATTGATCGATTTCATCGGGTAATGCACCAAATTCATTGCCACTTAAATATAACTCGGTAAGATGACTACTCATGAGACTACATTTCGGAAATTCATCCAGATAATTGAATGCCAAATTCAAAATACGGAGTTCTGTAAATACCGATATCACAGCAAATACATCATTTCTCAATTGATTATCTCCAAGAAACAGGGCACGTAAAGAACTTGCTAATGGTGGTCCACTCTTAGCCGACGAATCAACATGACTGCTATTACTAAGTGTGCAGAGAGTAGTCGTGCTAGCATTTATTGTTCCAAATGTTGGTGCAACTAATGTAACTGTTGATGGTGATAGTGGAATTGTAGATGTAGATGTAATTTCCATATACGGTGATGGAAAATATTTCAATAAATTACTACTAGCATTAAATGACACTAAATTTTGACACAGCCAAATTTCTTTTGGCAATTTTGATATGTTATTGATGTGCACGTCAAGTGAATGCAGGGAACATAATCGTCCAATTTCTGGCGGTAATTCAGTTAAAAGATTATTTGTACAATTGAAATGTATTAGTCGTTGTAGTGTACTTATTGTAGAAGGCAACGAAACCAATTGATTATAACATAATTCAAGTCGTTCTACTACTAATAAATGTTCGAATAGTGTATCCGGAAGTGTTGTGAGTTTTGAATGTGTTAGACAAAGCGTCGTGAGCGTCAAGCCGGTTCCCATTAACGAGAATTGTGTGAGATGATTTCGTGATAAATATAATTCTTGCAAAGAATTCGCCGATATATCAACAATACTAACGCTGTTTGATTCCACGTATAACTGTTGTAAACGTGGGCAGTTCGATAGCACTTCAATGTTGTGTATCATATTGTGACATAAATTAAGATAACGGAGTTTGACTAGTTTTGCGAATGAAGCTGGCAATGCACCAGTTATTTGATTCCCAACAACAAGAAGACATTCGAGCGAGCTCAGATTTCCGATTTCTTCCGGTATCAAACCTATTTGATTAAATGACATATCGAGTTCTTGGAGAGAATATATCTGAAATAGTGTCTCGGGAAATGATTTAAAACTATTATTTGATAAATTCAAAATGCTTAGAGAACTCATTCGTGCAAAATATTCTGGAAGTGTTTTTAATAAATTGTTTTCCACTTGTAGATTATTTAGACTTTTAAGTGAATCCAAACGAACATGCTCAAGATCTCGTAAACGATTCGATGACAGTGTGAGCTTTGAAAGCATCTCCGCGTCAAGAACTGATTGTGGAACCCGTTCGAAATCATTCTGAGCGAGATAAAGCTCGCGTAATTGCGTGCATGATTGAATAAAATCTGTAGGTAAATCGATCAAAAGATTTTGTGATACGTCCAGTGAGAGAATTGTATACGCGTATTTATGTAAAAATATCGGAATTGTTTGTAAATTTCTTGCTTGTAGATCAACATGCTTATATGATGCTCGATTCTCTTCTTCCTGTACCATCAATTGACAACATATTTTAATTATCCAACAGATTAGATTAATGTCAAGATTTTTTTTAGTTACCATACCTCAGTTCTTGTTGGCATTGTAGCTTGTCGATACGTGAATCTTACTAAATAACTATTATCTTCTCGACCAAGGTCCTCCAATCTATCTGATTCTGAATATCCTACTTGTTCAAGCCATTTTTTCTGTAATTGAAGAGGACGTTCTTGTGGAGCTAACACGCGTTCTACAGCATAAAAAAATGAAGATTAAGAATTTGCCACTAAAAGTATAGCTATTTACGAAAAGTAACATTACTCCTCTCCATTACTCACCCAAGTTATTTCTCTTGACGTATAGATTATATTTCGATATATCTTGAATGAAAAATTTTCTACCCAACATTTGACATAATTCTGCCGTTGTGGTGTTGAGTCCACAGCTAACGGTTCCAAAAGTGGCGTCTGGTCGGAAAATTCGAATACAAAACTGAAAAGAAAATCATGAAAAACATGATATTTTATCAAGAAAGATGATGGTATTTAATAACAGAAATTGCATGACATTCTGCACGTTAAAATCTAATAAAATTGATTCGATTTTTTGATGACTGGAATGAACATATTATTTTTTTCAAAACCAAAACCGCACAAATATATTTAGAAAATAACCAAATATTACTGATGATTGCGAGAAAAAGTTAAAATTGAAGAAATTACCTCTTTCTTTGCTTTCTAATTATTTCCGGTTATCGCATAGTTTAAAAGTTTAAAGAAAAAAAAATAGTAATTTAGAAGATGATTTACTGACTTGTTTATCAAGTGATATTTGAAAAACACAAATCAAGTCATCCGCAAAAAAAATGAAAAATACAAATTGTCCATTAGAAACTTGATCTTCCTCTCCATCATCCAATCGTATTCCAAATTCAGATGGTTTCAAAACTGCCCAAGAATCAGGTGGTAACCATGTTTCATTTTTACCGCCGGGAGGAAATTCCTTGAAATCAGTAACATACGACTGAAAATCTTTGTGATTATAATCATCGAAAGAACCATTGAAGTTAGATGCCGCATCAAAATTGTAATTTAGAATGCCTTCCATGTCTGTTAAATTCAGATCCACTAATAAAAATATATCAAGAATTTTAATAATTAATAGTAAATATATTAATTAGGTAAAAGCCCTTCTGATGCTCAATGATAAGAATAAAAATTATTATGGAAACGATATCAATACAATCATAGCCAGTTGTAGCGTTATTCTATACAAATAATATAAATAGATATTATAAAATAATTAATATAATATATTAAAACGAATGATAATTAAGGAAATTGAAAAATAAACCTTTTTTTCCTTGAACGACTCTCGTCTTTTAATTCTGCCCCAATGATTGTAATAATGATGATCACTCTTATTCGATCTAACCGAACTACTACTTGGCAAAAGATTCGGTGAAAAATAGTCATCTTTTTCATTTATTGGTGTATTTAGTGCCGACACGCCATGTCTTATTGATTCTGAATCATAATGTTTGTGCAGAATAACTATAATTAAAAAATATATACGAAGAGTAACTTTTCCCTGATGACAATAACGCATATATCGATCATGCGCATACATACATATGTATGTGTATGCGCATGGTCTATGATTTCACTAATCTTCTGATAAATTAATACATACCTTCAGGTGTTCTTTCATTATCAGACTTTTTTTTCTTGCCATTTTTAAACCTATTTAAAAAACCGGCTTTCTTTTCTTTAACTGGAGGCGTAATTGTGTGAGTGCTGGCCAAAGTCAACGAGCTACCATTATCTAACCCCATCTGTATTTGTTCACTATCTGAACTATTTGTTCTTTTATGAAGTCCGTGCCTGCGATGAGATGAAGGTTGAAGTTCTACACTACTTGATATTGTAGCCATTTTGGCCTTATGAAGATCTGAAAGACTTTCTGCTGTAACTTGATATGCAAATTGTGTCATTTCTGATGGTGGACAATATCCATAGTTAGTCGTATCATTTGGTCGATATGAATCAAACGATTTTCTTCGCTGTCCATCATCTTCAGGCAATCCTAATACTACCGCATTTCCAGCAGACATTTTTCGAGCATGACCATGTGAATGTGTTTCATTTGTGCCATTTGAATTAGAATTAGAATTAAAACCACTTGACTTTACTGTTTTTGAGGAATTAGTATTATAATGATTATTCGATGTTGTCTGGGCACTTATATCAAGACTTGGTGAAGCAGGCCTTGAACCAAACAACGAAGCAAGAAAAGAAGGCTCTTTTTCCTCGCGTGATTTTTTTCGTCTAGTATGACCAAAGGTACCGGTTGGTGAAGACCCGGGTGTATGTAGTGGAGAGGGGGATCGCTGCGGCGGCTCCAAATCTGAAGATCGTCGAGGAGGTCCCGCAAGTGTTAATTTATTATTTTTTGTCTTTGCTGCAGAGGCAAAAAGAGCATTGATATTCTCAGGCTCAAGATAAAGAGCAGACCTTTGAGAGTTTGAAATGCTCGAGGCAGATTCTTTACGAGGCATTGTTGGTGTAAGAGTTTCTATTCTTTCTGGAGAATGTCCCCAGCCCGAGGAAGTAGTTGACGAGATACTCGAGGCTAAGGAAGTTTTACGATCCGGTATGATAAATGGGGGAGAGGGAGGAACCGGGTTGCTCAAGGAACGAACAGGTACCGGAGCAGTGAGTGGAAATTGTTGCTGAAAGTTTGGGCTAGTGCGTCCCGAAGACCATATCTCACCAACTGAGGGTTCAGTGATGAGTTCTTTAGGACGTCGTGTTTTTGACATTATCACTAATATTATATCAGATAAGGTAAAACAAACCATAAAATGGTACCGCCGATCTATACATGACACAATATCACGTGTGATTGACACTTCAATCGAAAACAAAAGGATACAACTCAATGTATTTGGCCGGTGCTAATCTTATGAAGCGGACGCTTAAGTCGCAAGATGCTTGCGATAAGTTATATGGTTTGTCAGATTGATAATCAATAGAAATACACTTTGGATCCGAAGGAGACTTTCTTATTCTTCCAAAAAATGATAATATGTTCGAATATATTTTTGGTGGCAACAATGACAAGAAGATCCAGTATTTGTAAACATCGCTCTTCAGGATAACTCGGTACCTGGTATGATATACATGTACAAGTTAAACTAGTAAAGGTACAAGCAGATGAGCAACCATTGCTGACAGATCCATTGTATAGAAGTTTCAAAAACATATACATTGATGTTTATATGGAGGCAGGGGATGGATCAAAACATTTAGTTGAAATGCAGGTTTTATTTTGACTTATAATCTCGACTCCAAGAGTAAGAAATTAACTATGTTTATCAGAATCATCACCCGATTAGTTTTAGCGCAAGAAAAATTACCAAAAAATGGCTGCATGTTTTGATTATTAGAATTTAAAGAAACGTAAGTTTAGACCTTGTACTTTCTATTCAATGGAATAAACTTTATTCATTGACATGTATTGATCCAATTAGTAGTCATGCCAGCAAAATATCATAATGCTTGGGGTGTCTGTTTGATATCTGAAGAAATCATCCAAACAACAACAGCCCATTTATTGGCTTGGAGTTTCATAATATTGCTTTAAATTTGGTCACAGAAACCATCCTCCCTCAGATTTATTCACATGGCTTGAATTTCTAGAAAGTGACTCGGATCAAGTCGGACATAAAGACAAGTAAGAACTTTTAATAATTAGTTGTTATGGTTGAATATGAGTTCAACATTATGCTTTTTATGCCAAAGCAAAAATACGAGCAAAAAGCATTATCTATCGAGGCCAATTGGAAGAATATCGTCATTGATGAATTATTAAGAGAGTATGAAGAATGTGATGTTAAAATTCTCAAACTTGAAAAAGACAAACACGAGTCTTTTGCCAAAGGAAGAGAGGAAGAAAAAGTTGAAGTTGCTCGAAATGTGCTAAAGCAAGGATTTGATATTGAATTAATCTCCACGATCACAAATATTGAAAAATAATATAGTACAAAAGCAGCAGATCAACAAAACACGTTAAACTCGATATCGATATAAAGAAAACAATATATTTTTTCACCCAATTTCATATCGATTTTCACAACTTCAGTACTGCTAGAACATCAACAGATGTCCCATCAAGAGATGTCCCATCAAGAGAGGTCACGTTAAAAAAGAAATGTCATCAGACTGCAAACAAATAATATTTATGTGATCCACTTGGATGAAAATTCCAAATTGTTGCAAGGTTTCCTTGACTAAGTGATAAATAAAGAAAATTACGATCAAGTCTCTTTGAAAAAATCAAATTGAATAATAATTATAAAAAAAGTTTGATATGACAATTTTTATTATAAATGATTCTGTTTATAGAAAAAATCATAATTTATACAAACCAAAAATAATTAGATTTATTACAAATATTTATATCTAAATTTACCAACATGCTTATGTTAAATTACACTTTCATTTACAATATTTTAGTTTATGCAATTGTAAAATAATTGAAACACTATCAAAAAATATCTTGAATCATTTACTTTACATATTCTAATAAAATAAAAGCATCTACATATATTTCTGAGATTTCCGAGTATATATAAACAATCAAAAGTAGAATCAGGGAATTCAACATTATAAAAAAAATTGATATTCAAACTTCTATAACCCATATCTTGATAAATATCAAGGGTATCTCAACAATTTAAAAGCTTGAATCTCAAACTTTAATTTAAATTATAGGTTGCTTAAGGTAAAAACGCTTAGTTGGATTATTATAAGCAAGAACGAAAATTTTTTATATGTTAAATTCCTTGGTTTCTACATTTGACCAATTAAATCTAATATGGATTCGTCGCCATAGTTGATCTTAGTATAATGAAAAGAAGAAAAAGATTATTGTAAATAAAGATAGTATATTGTGATAATTATTAAGGTTGTGGATTATGTTCGTTTTCAGATAACAAATTGTTATTCCCAAAGTATGTATCAGCATCTTTTTTTAAATAAGATGTCCCTATACTTTTTATCATCATTTATACATTAACGTTGGAAAATTGTTTTTTGGAGAGGGAGAAAAAAAATACTCACTATTAAATAATCGGATTCAATGATTGCATCAAAACCTACATCTTTAATCTCTACAGGAAACGTAGGAGTGAAAGACTCGCCTTAAAAGGAACAAAAGTCAAGGATAAATATTTCAACCCCAATCACCTGAACTTTGAATTTATAGTCTTCTCAAGACAGCCTAATTTTTGGATGTTTTTTTTCCAAAATTATTTCTTGTATTACCAATAGCATCGTGGGAATATAAAATCTTTTTTTTGACGAAGATTATTATAGCGATAATCATCCGTTAGTAAAGATGGACAAAAATTAGGTCATTTGCTATTTTTGGTCGCTGGTCACTAAATTTTAATATTAAAAATAAGGTCATTTTGAGGTCACTATTTATTGGTGAATTCTATTGTAGATTTCTAGCTTGCAGATTTCGAGTCCATGTGATAATGTCTGATCAATTAGAATCCCAAGCTTAAAAACCTATCATCTTTTTTCTAACTACATTGTGAATGTAGAATAATAACTGATGTACAAATCATAGAAATTCTTCCGTAACAATCTTGTCTAAAACCAAGTTCTATTGGATGGATTTACCATGTGGTTAGTTGTGTGAAATGAACCAAAACAATAGAGCAAATAAATCACGAAATATTATGGCAATATTTAGGTTGTGCGAGTGTCGAACTTGATTAACAAATAATGTAATGATTAATCTATTACTGATTCAACGAGAGGTTGTCTCGTTTCATCAAAGTATTTGTATGCGTTTCGCGAGTACCGAATTATTTGATAAAATTGTTGAGATAATTCGAAATCTAGGCAAGGAGGATTGTTTAATTCAAAATTCATGATTGTTATCTAGATTGCATCATCTGACTCGTCATATTCATTAATTGAGTATTACTCATCAATGTAGAGAAATTGAGGCTTATTCATCAATGTAGAGAAATCAGCTAATCCTGCAATTCCAGCCGGAAAACCGCCACCACCAGGAAGGAAGCATGTTTACTATCTGTAGATGTACCACCACCTCCTCGCGTAGACGGATCTCGCTGACTTTTTGTTCAGCGCCAAGCGCAGATTTTAAAATAGTATTATGTGGATAAAGTGAAAGTCCCTTTTCATAGGCATCATCTATAGCCTCTTGATATTTTCCTATATAATAATATATGTGTCTTTTTATTTTTTGGGACTTTTATGAGATGTAGGCAAATTCACAATTGAATAGAAAATCAATAATCGGAATGTCGAGACTTATCAAAGTCTGCTGTAAGAAAGGAGGAATCAGAATCAACTTGCGTGGATTTTGTGGCGTCTTTGATCGCTTTATCATGTTTTCTCATTTGACTGTATGCAGCAGCTCTGGATTTAATTTAGAGAATCTTAAATAATACCTATTGGCATAAGCATAGCGGGCTTAAATCTGATTGGTTGATCTTCAAAATGTATTAATTTCCTATAAAAAAAGATGATCATCTAACTTTAAATGGATTCGTACGAATTCGCAGACAATAAAATTTTCGACAAAATAAAATATATCGATATGTATATTAATTTACTATTTTCATTTTATAGATGTTGCCTGTTGGTAAGAGAAAGGCAGAATACTGTGACCTGGCGGGAGAAGATGATATTGTTTGTGATTAGGAAAAGAAGGCGTTTCTGTATTATCTATAACAAACATTCATCTATCCTTTTTTAATTATTAACGTTAAGAAAATGATCTACAAAAATTAGCCAATCACATAGAAAGCCCGCTATGCTATTGTCGAATTTTTTTTATTTTGATGAATAAGTATTTTGACGTGTTTCTTAGCAAAAAAAAAAACTAACCGGCTGCTTTAATTCTTTAGCTTTTTACTTTTGCTCTCGGGCTATATTTTTCATTGTGATACAAGCCCGAAATGGATATTTCGGGTAGCACAAGCCAATAAGAGCACAAATTTTTATCAGCCCGGCAAAACAAATCCGACGCAAGAAACTAAAATGTGAAAGCAGATGCCTAAATCTAGCTTTGTGTGCTAATCAAAAATGTCGAGGAGGCAATTTTACATATAATCTCAGTTCTGACCTTTACCCTGACCCTGACCTTAAAGACTAAAGCTTCTAGTAAAGAAAAAAATGTGCTTCAATAACTTGGCTTTGTTGTTTAACGCAGTCTACTTTTGATAATTTTCCTAGCTATTAAATGTGATGAAATGAAATCTGGTAGGATATATAAATACTTTAATCCTTTTCCATAATTGTCACAAAAAAAAGGTCAAAGGATCAAAAACACTATGTATCAAAAACTCGACAGAACGATAATATTAAAACCGTACGCACAATGTTGATTCAAAATCTTCAAATTGAAATTTGCACCAAACTTTCCGTTATGCAATCAATTGCATAGTTGCAAGGCATCGATAGATTGCTGTGCATCATTACTCATATTCCGGTGCGTCTTTTGTTCAAAAATGGTTTATAAGGTTGCATACAAATACACGAATGTTTTTAAATTATCGTTATATAGATAACAAAAGCTTCAATCGAGCATTTTATATTTAAACAGGAAATTAGCTTTTACAACAGAAGTGTTCATGACAGTGAATTAGAATCTGAAGTATACAACAATAAATTTTTGACTGAAGAAAGCCTATTAAAATTAAAAATTTTTTTGTAACAAAATATCTGCAAATGGAAATTGTAAAACGCGTGTAACGCATAACCATAATCTGACTAAATTGTGCTATAATCAAATCTATTTAATGGAAAAATATCATTGGTAATCTGACATCATCAATATGATATGTTTTCTATATTTACTCTCACGAATCACGAAATACGAAATGAAATTTTTTTAATCTTTTCTGTAACACGCATGTGCCCCTTTGTAAAGCAAAGATGTAACACCAATCGAATTCCTGCTTTACGCGGTTATATAACCGAATACTACGTGTTACAGCCGTATTAAGAATACACATTAATTAACATACAATCATACTTTCCCCTTCTTTTATCCTTCATTATACCTTTTTTTAACATATACACTTCATACACTACCATCGCACACACCTATCTTCCAATTTTTTCCGCCTTCGAATACACAAACACACGCACCTTTCTTCCTTTTTTCCTCGCTACAAAACTCTTTCATCCCCTTTCCAATTTCTTTCTCTTTTCTTGCATTTTTGTTGGTTTTTTTGATTAGGTTTTTTTTTGGTTTTTTTTTTGTTAATTTAACTAGTTGGGTTATTTGTGTCTAAAATTTAAAGTTGGCAAACCTGGCTTATAGTCTGTTTCGGGTTATTTCTTCTATAAAAAATCATAGTTGTATTTATAATAAATCTGAACAGCAATTGCATCTTTTCACACATTGGACTTTTCAAGACTCTTTAGATTAGCAATAAAGACATTAATCCATATAACTCGCATCGATACATTCATACGGTACATACATAGACACTAATACCATTTTCTCCGAAAAAAGGATTCTCAGCTAAAAAAAATGTGTTGTCAGACAGCAAAATGGAAGCTGGAAAGAGACCGAGAACAAGTTCAAGATCACAAGTTTGAGTTTGTCGACGTAAACGAATTTAAACAAAGGAATTGTTTACGAAAATTAAAGTATTCGTTTGTCTTCGGGGTGGTGTTGAAATCGGTACTGGTGTATATTGCCGACCTGTGGACAGCCGGTATCTTGCTTATTTTCAACGAGTGGAACTCGGCAGTGAAACCGAAAATTCCGTTCGATGTCTCGAAATGGATTTTCTTGGGATGTATTTTTATGTCGTTTATTTTACTGGCATGGGATATGAAGAAAGCCAAAGCTATTGTTGAATCGGATGATATTTCTTATGCGTTCACTAGTATTATCGCCTATCGATATTATACATTACGGAGTTATGCGCATTACTGCTTTTTCTCGCAGATTAACAATTCAAGAAAGCGATGGGATCGTATTGCGTTTTTTGTGTTTTTCACCTTCAAAGGTTAGTAGTTTGTTTTGATTTACTAATCATTATTAAGAAAAAGGGTGAAAAAAGATTATAATATCAAATCCTCTATCAAATAGGCTGGAAACGTTTGGTGTTTGCTGAAGCTCCACGTCAAGCAATAAATGCAATTACACTTTATTCTATTTTGCAAACACAACATTTCTCTTTAAAATATGAAAGGTATGGAAGCAATATGGTCCAACGTCTTGCTATGTTCTTGATGGCATTCACTTTGGTTATTTTCATTATTTCTGCGTCCCTACTGCTCGTTGCCTTCATTCTATATCTTCCCTTGTTGTGTCATATTCGAGGGAATTTGAAGGAATATTGTTGTCACAAGATCGATAAAAGGTAAATTTTTATTTTTCCTTTTTTTATTTTTTTTTTTACTTGAAATTAAATTAAATTTATTGTTTTTTTTTTTGATTTCGAAAAAAAGAATCGGTAGGCTTTTAGTAAAGAAATCAAGGAAACGTGTTTTAAAACAAGTCGCAGCCGCTAAGGCACAAGCATTGGGTGATTACAGTAATCTAAAAAATAAAAAAAGAGAAGTACCACCTCAACTTCGTGAGCCCACTCTTCCAACAATGGCATTCTTCGACGATAGTAAATCATCCCCTGCAGCAACACCTACACTCCCAACACTTCCAACACTTCCACCTTATCAACAGCATAGTCAACCCCCGATGATGTACAATGATCGAGTCATGTCGCCAGATCCCATGTATGGAGCGAGAGGAGATGGCGGTCCACCTGGTTATTTACCACAGAATGGAGGATATGATAATAATGTTGCTGGTCAACATAATCCATATCCACAACCTAATCCATACCAACAACCACCACCGTCACAATTTACGAGGCGTCGTGATAGTAATTCATCGTTGCAGTCAGAAATGACTGCAGTTTCCGGAAAACAGAATTTAAATAATAATTATTATAATAATAACGGTGGATATCCGTCACATATGGGGCCAATTCCACAAACAAAACGTAGTTATAATAATTTAGCCGCAGCACAAACAGCTGCAATGAACAATTCACAAACCATTAATAATAATATTAATAATAATAATAATTATGATGATGATGATCCATATAATGGTATTATAGGATACAATACTGAATATTCAGAGTATGGAGCTGATTCAACGACTTCAACGACAACAGTTCCCTCAAGGTATCCGCCACAAGAACATTCACAGATCCCATCAAGATATCAACAAGAACGTTCCGCTAGATCTAATAATAATAATAATAATAATGGTCGGAGAGGATATTAATTATAATTATAATAATGTAAAGTTCTATATTCTTTTCGATATTCATTCCCCTTGTATTATTAATTTTCGAGGTATCATTTGCGAAAAAATATTATATTTATTTTTATTATCGAGTCATTCTCAACACACTATTAATGAGTGGTACAAACATCCTGAATGTCAAATTTTGATTATTTCTACTTTAGTCCTTTCTTTTATTTGATGTTGTACTTGCTCATTTTTCGCACCGTCTCTGTTTATTGGCTTAACCGTCATCTTTACGAATGTGTTTTTTGCCAATGAGGCAGGATTTATACATAATACCCCTTCAACTACCTGCACATAAAAAGTTGTATTTATTAGAATATTATCATATAGTAAAAATTATATAAAAGATCACTGCATCATCTATTAATACTATCTGTCAATTTATTACCTTTACAAAATATTGTAAATGACGGGATGGCAAGATGAGAACATCCGGCAAAATTTCTAATTTTAATCTATCGCTATGTGTAAGACTCAAATTGACGCCGCCATATGGTGGAAATATTGGATAGAAACTAATTTAATGGAATTTATAAATTATTTATCTCTAGAGAATAGCAACAGAATAATGATTAATGAAAATTCAAACCTTTGTTGCTCCAGCACATGTCGACACAATTGAATCATTCTTTCCGTTGTTATATTTCTAATATTGAAAATGGATGATCTATTTCTGTATTCGCGCTGGATTTATACTAAAAAAAAAAGGATTTATCGAACCTTTGACATTCTGCCCCACTTAAATGACTTATTATCTCATTTGCGCCGACACCAAATACAATTTCATTAACTCGAAATTGCGCCGGATTAGGGTAAAAAATAACTCCCTAATTTTTATAATTACATAGAGCTTAAACACAATTCAATAAGCAAATTTTCCAAAGAATCTATTTTACTCTACCTGAGGAAGTCCGAGACTATTAATAGAAGCCTGCTCAAATGGTGGCTGTGGAAAGACAGTATCATAATGTGTAATATCTTTGACACTTGGGATCATGATGATTTGTGAGGCGGGCGATGATTTAATAAAATGTCTTATAGGATACGAGATAAACCTTGAAAAAATATTTTCCAAAGTATAATCAATTTCGCCAGATTTAATCAATGTATGATCAGTTTCAATAAAAGGACCCATCTAGAAATATTATTAGTGTTTCCTTTTTATTACGTTATCTTAATTCAAAAATAAAAAATTCACCAAACTCAAATGGATCATAAAAAATAAAAATACACATACCAATATTAAGACATCAGGCCTGATCGATTTCATATTTTCCATTAATTGCGCGAATGGCTCAAAATTGAGATTACTTTCCGTTGTAAATGGTCCAGCCGCTACAATGACAGTCATTTCTTCGCCATTTAATCTTGCTTTCCCGTAATTATAAGACATGATTTCAGCAGTTGATGTAACAGGCATTGGTAATAAAGGTAGCTTCAAAAAAAAACATAGAAATTTTAGAACGCTCAATTTTTTTTATTCCCTACACTTTTCAATCATTAAATTTCAAAACATTTAATTCACCTTGTATATTTTGCTTACGTCGAGAACGTTGCCAGTAATATTAATTCCATCCACTGCAATGATCTGATATTTATAAACTAAAGCGTTTGAGCGACTTCAAGAGAAAATCAAAGAATAAATGAGCAAAATAAATGAGCAAACCTGTCCCGGAAATAAAGAAAAAGATTGTACTTCTCGAAGTGACAATCTAACGCGACGTCTTCTACCCAAACTTTGTGAAGTCTCCAACACTATAGATCCTGTGTTCAATTTTCCTTCGGAATCGCAACAAACTCTTCCTACCGTTGTTATCGGCTCCTAAATATCCGCAAAAAATAATAATTTAACAAAAAATGTATCAAATAAATTAATTCTCTCTTTCTTTTTGTACCTGATTCGGGCGAGAAGGATCGAAAATTTCTTTATCACTATAACACTTTTTAAACAACTTGATAAAGTACTCAATTTGTTCATCGAGTGCTATTTATCCGAGAAAGTAGTAAAAAAAAAAAAAACTATAAGTAATTATTAATTAACGAGCTTATGACGTTAAAAAAAATACCACCTTGCATTCTATCAGTCAATTTTTCGTGCATGTATCTATAAGGACTACAATTTTGATTTTCCAGTAACTTGATTTCACATCTTTTCATTGTACTAGAAGATTGTGGTGAGCTTGAAACGTCGATATGAGGATTAAAAGTATAAACAATTGAGCCAAAATTTTCTCTATTGGCAAAACTCCGAGTATTTTTAACACTGTAATTTAGAATTGGCAATTAATATTTAAGCTGCATTACTTACTTCTCAGTGAGAATATTTCAGTGAAGGTTATCATAATTTGATGAACTGTGTTTAAGGATAAATAAGAAATTTCAATACTTGCACGTTAATTTCTTCATTTGATATTTGTGGTGTTGGCTTTTGTGGTTCCTCTGGTTTTAATTGTTGTTGTTGCGGCGGTGGCTGGTGCTCCTTGCGCGAAGGCGCTGGGTTTATTAGCTTTTTTTTTAACGCAAGACCATTTCGGCTACTGCTAGAGACATTCATTTTTTGAAGTTTGAAAATAATGACGCGAATGACGCGAATATTATTAAACCAAAAATGACCAATAAAAATACAGGGTAGATAGATAGTCATATGATTAATTTAATATAAATGTATATATTGTATAATTTTGCTGATCCAACTTCTTTTACAACATGGCAATGAAAGAAAATGCCAACAAATGCACGATATATGTTGGTAATTTAAATCTTTTTATTAGAAAGAAATAAGAATGAATTGACTTGATTTAATAATAACAACCCATTTAAATTGACGTAAAATAGGCGGACTAGATGACCAAGTCGACGAAAAGGTTTTACACGCCGCTTTCATTCCCTTTGGTGAAATAGTTGAAATACAAATACCCCCGGACCCTGCTTCTCGTGAATATTTTTACTATTTTCTATTCACTAAATTTTTATTTTCTCGATTATGAATTTTATTATCATTTTGTTTAATAGACAATCAACATCGTGGATTCGGGTTTGTTGAGTTTGAGGAAGAGACGGATGCACAAGCTTCCATTGATAATATGCACTTATCGGAATTGTATGGAAAAGTGATTAAAGTTAATCTAGCAAGACCGATGCGAATCAAAGAGGGCAGTTTGAGAGCCGGTAATTATTGATTATTGATTCATTTCAGACAGAAAAATATTCTTTTCTAATTCTGTACGTTTTTTAATGTATTTAGTTTGGTCGGAAGATGCCTGGCTACAGAAATACGCCTTAAAATCTGCTGATCCCAAAATAAATTACGACGACGATGATGATAATGACGATATTAATAATGTCAATTCGGAAAGAGAAAACGTCGGAAAATCAGACAAACATATGTCAGAAATGTCAGAATAAATGGGACATCCATGTTGAGAGGTGAGTGCGTGAGGATTTCATGTTGGTATATTCGATTATTTCGAAGGTTGTCAATGTTTGCGGAACCAATCGTAACTTTAACTTTTACACAGAATGATATCGTTTTTGATTTCATCTACATCTGTATAACACTCAAATGTAACACAAAGAAGCACTCAGTGTAAATAAACTTACTAAAAAAAGATTACCGCGCGAAATCATCTACATCATTTTTTAGCTTGTATCTAATTTTTTTTTTAATGAAATGTCACTCTCCAAACCCACTGGAGGTAGCTCAAAAACAACAGCAGCAACAAGTGAGACCAACGATGAAAAGTCTCGGTTCAGCATTTCCCTGCCGAAGACCTACAACTATCTAACTATCGTACAGGCAGGAAGCGCAGTGGTGTTCAGCACTTTTCTCGTAACACATTTGAGCGTGAACATACTTGCAAATTTTGGTGGTATTGAACTCGCCAACAAAACATTGCTCCTCGGTAGGGTCTACTATCAAAATAATTTACTGGAACCAATTGTGGTGTTTGGTTCGTTCTGCCTTCATGTTGCGTCGGGAGTTGCCAAACGTGGCATTCGACTATATTGGAAATATCGAAATCTTGATAAACGCGAGTTGACCGGTGACGTCCACGAGAAAGTTGAAAGAATCGTGACAGACGAGAAAAATGAACAGGGACAGGTTGTTCGTCAAAAAATTACCACGAAAACCACAAAAACCATCACCGTTTCTTACATATCACGAGCATCGGAATTACTATTACCGTTTCATTCATTGATCGGGTATTTGCTGATTCCTGCTGTTGTCAGCCATTCTGGCATCCATAGATTTCTACCGAAACGTCATTTCGGCGATTCTTCTATGATTAATATCACGTATGTGACTCTTGCGCTAAAACGATGGCCAAAGAGCTCGTATTTAGGATTTGCAACGTTAGTGGGATTGACAGTTTATCATGTTGCAAGTGGAGCTCCGGCCGTTTTAAGGATTCTTAAAGGAGCAACGGCACGAAAGAAAACTAGTGAAAAACAACATGCTACATCTTCAGAGCGTTTAGAGAGTTCTCAAAAATTACTGAAATATGTTCGTAATGGTGCCATCGCGGCTACTGTTGGTTTGGTGGGTGGCGGTCTTTTAGTTATAGGGGGAAAAATTGGTCGGGAAAATATCCGAATTCCTCTACGCAACGAATATTTGAAAGTATATGGACGCGTATATCCTCATAGTTGGGTGCGATATTGATCAAATTCGTGTTATTACTGTTTAATTTAGGTATTTATTTCAGTTATAATTATCGAGCAATAGTTTATTATTCATTTTTAATAAATAATTTCGATAACAACAATAATAATAAGAATAAAATAATAATAACTAAAATAAGAATAACAAATAATAATATAGTCATTAAAAAAACCATCATCACCTGATATTCATTTTTTGAATGTTGGATGTAAACAAAAAAGGTAAACGGGCGTGGATTCTACAACGGAAACAATTATCCAAACAATGTACGTACAACTATTGTTATTTGCTATTGTACAAATCACTTCTGCTGCTTGCTTTTCGCGTGCAAAATAAAAAAAAAAACATTTTATTTTAATTTAAGTTCGAAACGATGTACATTTTTTTTCATTGATTGATATTCATTCATTCCAAAAGAAGAAAATAATAATCAAAGACCACCGACGACAATATACGAGAGTTTATATTTTTTTCGGGCGTTTTGTTTATATCATTTAAGCTATTACACTATAGATTATGTGTGTATATATATATATATATATATATATATATATATATATATATATATATATTAATTATTAGTATTATTATTGTTTGTCAAAACGCCAGTTTTATCCAAAATATTATCTAATAGCAAGAACAGAAAGAAATAACAATGGCAATTGAGTTTGAATTGATTGATCGGGTGGAATTTATATTATTTTCTGTAACAATAAAATTCCCATATATTATTAGCGGTGGCACAAGATCAGCAACACATGTGGTTTAGTGGCGGTGTGGTGATAATAGTGTGCACATTAAATGCCATAAGAAAGAACGATGGCCAATGGTGACCGATCATGCTATTAAGAACAGGCCGCGAAAGATTCTAAAGCGTATACCAGTGCGGTAAAAAATTGTAGAATATAGATAGATATAGACTATTAGATAATAATTAATTTGGGGCGGAAATTTTTAATTATTTATTAATTTAACCACTACTTATTTATATATGCCCCCTTTATTTTTTCCTTGACTTCCTCGCTTTCTCTCTATCGGACTAAACTGAACTGAACTCTTTTTCTTGGTTATTTTCCCCCAGCACCTTTTCCCTTTACTGCACATATACACGTTAAAGTAAGACTTTGATTTTACCTTGGGTTAACACATGTCCGCCTCAGACAACGAGTTTACCCAATTATTAGAAGACTTATCAACTGCTGCTACCAATTACAATCTGGATACTTCCTCGAATCAGGCTGCAGCTGCCAACATTTCAGCAGCCCAACAAAGAAACATAAACAATCATTCTTCCCTAAATATGTCCCCTCTCCTCGCACAGACACAGAAGGAGAGTGGAAATACTAGAGATTACGTTTCCGATACTGTAACTTCTTCGGCGTATCCGCCACCTGCACAAGACCCACAACGTGTACTACGCCAAATGATGAGTCTGTGCAAACATATATATTATCGAGGTTTAATTGAGGGTAGTGGGAGTGATGTGACAATAAGAGCATTCGGTAAAGATTATCATCTGCATCGAATTATCCTTTTTCAAAATACCTATTTCTCGGTGTTGATGGAAGGTCCATGGAAAGAGAATGGTGCGAATGCAATAGAATTAAGATTCGACGATGAAAATATCACACGTGATGCATTTGAAATTGCACTTGGACGTCTTTATGGTCGTCTGGATGATGTCATCCTACCCTCGCAAGTGCTTAATTTACTCGCTACTGCATCATTTCTGGATCTACAAGATATATGTGAAACGTGCGTAGAGGTGATCTTACGTGATATAAAGGAAGACACCGTGGTTCATTATCTTACCTTTGCTACTTCCCATTTTTATGGTACACATTCAGAAAAAGTCACCGAATCATGCTTCACGTATTTGTGTCGAGAAGGTTTTGATAATTTACGATTAAGATCGGCGTTTTTGACGTTACCAGCTGAATGGCTAAAACGAGTTCTCGAGAGTGATGCTTTTTGGGTGCCGAGTGAATACGAGCGGTATTTGTTTGCCAGAGAAGTGATTAGCAATCGAAGAAAAATTGCATCGGATCAGAAACGAAGTAGTATTGCGTCCGGACTGATAGACCATCAACAAACGATGTATTCAATGGACAATAATAATAGTAATAGTATACCAAATTCACCTACAACTCCTACACCAACGTCATCAATAATTAAACGATTATCTGAATCTGCGTTCACGTATCATACACGAAGATCCGTTTCAATAAGCTCAACATCATCCACTTCATCCTCTTATATTCCAGCAGATAGTGATGAGCAATTATACACCGCGATCTTTTCCTATGGCATTTATTATGCTCACATGAGATTCGAAGAGTTGAGTTCTATTCTAAATGATCGTGATATAATTAACAATGCACCGTTCGCACCAAATCATGTATTAAAGGAAGCATTATGGCAGCAAATTGATCTAAGGAATAAGATTGAAAATGCATCAGAAACGGATGTCACACTCGGTATTTCGTCTTCGGAAATACCGCCAGGATTTCATTTTGAAATTCCTTCTGATGATACAACTCATATTGGGGAAGCATTGACCGGTCTCGATGATATGATTGGTGGTGGGACAAAGGCAATGAAAGATGGTGAAGGAATAGGAAGCGTAGAGTATTCGCTGTTTGCCCCATTTAGATTCAGTGTTGAGTTTGCTGATGTGGCAAAATTAAAAGAAAAACAACGGGTCTATTCTAAAACTAAATTTTATGCTGGGTAAGTTTTAAACTATTCCGTTCTATTATCAATTATAATTGCAGGAATCTAATTATTTTCCTTTTATTGTATAAAGATCAAATTGGAATATGTATATACAAAAGATAAAAACGCCAAGAAAGGGAATTCAGCTTGGAGTTTATTTACATCGTCATTCAATGCCCGACACATCTAATTCAAATCTGAATGGATCATCAAACAACAAACCTAACAGCTCCACATCTTCAAACTCTCCTGGTGTCGATTCCAATGATCAATTTGCCACGCGTCAGTCGTTGTTAATGCGTAACATCAACAGCGAAAAGAGTTTTTCACGATATGCAGATAGAAGGAAAACTGTCAGAACGTGGTTCAAGATCTTTTGTCCGGCAAGAGGTCCAAGTCACGTATTGACCCAGTTTCAAAGTAGCCCCGACAATTTCGCATTAATGCAAAGTTGGGTGAGTGATCTTTTTTTCGTGGATTAATGACTTGATGAATGACGAGTATTATTTTAACAATATTTTGTATGCAATAATAGGGCTGGCGAAGCTCAAGTTTGTGTTCCGACGATTATTTATTAGATGTTCGAGATTTTGATTCAACCATGGCTTCGGCCATGTCAACCTCCGCCTCATCAACCCTAAAATTCTCGGTGGTGATGGGACATGTGTAAATAGATGGCTAGTGAATTATTATATTAAATGTTTATATTATTAATGTGATATTAGACTTTTTTCTTTTTGTATATATTGATACGATTTTTCCGAAAGGATCTGTAAGAGTAAATGACGAATAATTATAGTTCGTGATATTTTTAGAATTATGTACAAGAAAGACAATTATTAGCATAATGTCATTGGAAATTAAACCTACATTACAATTTTTTTTTTATAAATTTAATATTCATTATACGTATGCTAGACTACTAGATTATTGATATTTTTATTATCGTTACATAAATAAAATATAGTAATGTCACGGTATCACCATGTCAAAAAAAATTTCACGATTAATCGACACAAAAAAAGAAATAAAAATAATGAGTCAAAATAAGGAAGAAAAGAATAAAAGTGCCAATAATATTAAAAATAGCAAGAAAAGACCTTTAGAGGGTGATTTTCATGATCATGTGAATCTCTCGGAGAGAAGGAAAAAAGGTATAGAAATAATAAAAAACACGAGCAAAGATGTTTCTATGGATGATTATATTAGTGGTGATGATGATGATGATGATGATGATGATGATGATGTTAGTGATGGTGACGAAAATACTGATATTGAGGAATCTTCGGATGAAAGTGACGGAAATAAGGTTTATTGGATTTTTTTTTGATTTCAAGTCTATATATAATTAAACTCGTAAAGTCAATTTAATTTTAAATATTCCAGATACTAAACGTCGACGCAGAATTCTTTGACCCACAACCTTCAGATTTCCTTGCAATAAAAAATCTTTTGAATCAATTGTTCTCGGCGGATTCGGTTCTTTTTAACCTTTCCGAGATTACAGAGTTGATCATCAATCAACCGTTACTTGGCACAACAGTGAAATTGGAAGGATCAGAATCCGATCCGTTTGCTTTGTTGACTGTGTTGAATATTAATGTGCATCAAGTAAATTATTTACGTAAAATTCACGTTGACTTTTCTGGTTCATCGAAACAATGTTAATTGATTTTTGCTCGGATTCTAATTTGTGGATGATGGACTAAAGGGCAAACAATGTATGAAAACTTTAATCACTTACATCCTCGAAAAAACAGGTTCAAACAAACAACTATACGAAAAATTATCATCATCAATATTAAAATCCCACAACGACAGTGATAATTCTAACGATCACGTTGGATTGATCTTAAGCGAACGTTTATTAAATATGCCAGTACAAATAATGCCACAAATGTACAAAATGTTGGCGGAGGAAATTCAATGGGCTGTCGATGATGTAAAAAAAAATAAGAATTATCTTTGAAAATTGTTACCATTTAAAAATCACATAATAATTGAAGATTTTTATTCACAGAATGAACCCTATAATTTTGAATGGTACCTTATCATTACGAAAACTTATTGTGAAGTTGCTTCATCATTAGACGAAGAATTGATAGCAAGTGAAGATATTTCCACCCTAAATAATAATAATATTCATCTTCATAATCAAAATTCTTCTTCGTTATCGAATCGCGTACAAAATCCCAAGAAAAAGAAAAAAACAAAACTGGTATATATTATTATCCATCATATGGGATGTTGATTGAATGTCTATCATTGACTTTTTCTGAAAATTTTAGTCAGAGCCACAGATATTTTATTTTCATCCAGAAGATGAAATAATCGAGCAGGTAATATAAATATGAGTTTCTTCTCTTTATATTTGGTGACATCATTATAAATTAATTATCTAATACAGAATGCCGAATTCACGCACGATTTTCAACTCTCGAAACAACTACCAACTTCTGATTCTCGGCGTGCGTTTCAAGATTTTGGTATTGCACCCGCAATGAAGGTTTTCCTGCTGCATCGTGACAAAATTCAAAAATTGATTACGGATTTAGAGGTCGCATGTCAATAACTATTTGATTTCGATATGTACTCGGTAATTATTTATTTAAGCCGTATTTTCTTAATTTTCGCTCGTCAGAGTATTATTACATTCAATTTATAAATCTCAATTATTTTACAAATAGAAACTTGTGTATAAATTATGTTGATGGTTGGATTAAATTGGAGTATATTCTGGTGACATCGGCATATATGTTGGAGATGCTGATCCCTTAGGACGAAAATCGGTTTTATTTTTATAATGACCATTTGTTGTCAAGTTGGTATTATTAATTGAAAAAGAATCTAGTTGCAATAAGTGTTAGTATAATACTCGTTATAAGATAAATCATACTATTTTCTTTGGTCATTATTGTGAATTCATAGTTATATTCGAAGAAATACGATTGCGAGAGTTATTCACCTGATTTCCGCCTATGTGGAACTTCATAATCTAAATCCGTTTGCTTGTATAAACCTCGAGGATTTTTGAAAACGTGCAAGAAATTGCAATGGATTCCTTTGGGACATTTGTTTCTTTCATGAACACCTATTTAATTATCCCGTATATTGTTGATGATGCGAGAAAATTATAAAGGACTAGTTAACTGTAATTTCTTACCACAAATAGCAGATTTCCATTTTGTCACCGGGCAATACTCTGCAATTAATTGTTTCCCAGCATACCATCTTCCACGTATTGATTCTAATGCTCGTTCGGCTTCTTCCTCTTTTTCATATTGTACGTACACATTACCGCGCAAGTGAGGCTGAAAATTACTACATACCTATGAATGATAATATCTTGTGTACTTTAATTCAAATAGAACTTTGATTGAGGATGTTAATCTTTACAATAGTTAGGTACCTTGAACTGTACAATCTTGCCATGTGAAAGAAATTCCGAATGAACATCCTCAAAAAATTCAAAATAATGACGCTCCGCCTCCTCGTCGTCAAACTGCATGAAAATAAAGTATCATGAGAGAAAATATTCCAAATATTTCACTGGGTTAAGGATTTAATATGGAAAAACTTTGAAAATATAATAAGTCTTAATGATATATCGACCATAGGTATTAAAGTGTGTATCGCCCGTGTACAAAGAACGCAAATGCCAATTGCATAGAAATAATACACTAATGCAGTTCTTAAGGATATGAGATCATTCATTACACGAATCCGATCCTGGAGATCGTGTGTTGTAATTGGAACCATACCTCCAAGTTATCATCATTTTCTTCGTCAGCTAATTGTACTGGCATTCCCACATACATATTTCTGACTAAGATAGTAACACTTTTTTCAGGGTACGGATGATATCGATCACAAAGATCGCCATAACGACAAGCTCCAGTTTTAAGGTAAAACGAGCATAATTGTTCCTAAATTTGATGTAAAGAATTCATTTGACGAAAATATGAAGTGAATAATTTCTTGCTAATTAATAAGCAAGAAGAAAAAAAGCAAAAATGCTCCAAATTATATATATAGGATACACTACATTTGCAGAGGGCAAGATGGGAGTAACCTTTAGAGATTTAAAAATAAAAATATGATTAACAAGAAGAAAATTAATGAACAGAATAAAATATCAATTGCTTCTAATATTCTTACATCATTTGTTTCCTTATTCGTTAAAAAATCCGTAGGATTTGAGCTTGAATCAGAGGATAATTTGGGTTTTTTTATTGTGATGCTCTTTACAGTCTTTGCCCAATTCTCCTTTAAAAAATTAGAATATTTACTATTATTGTTATTATTATTATCATTATTATTAACATTATTCCAATATTATGAATTAATCATATACCTCGATTATTTTTCTTCTCTTTTCTTCTTGTTCTCGTTTTACCCGCCGTTCGGCATTCTGTTTTTCAATCTGCCGTTCTTTTACTTCCCATAGTATCCTTTCAGCGTTCCTAAATTTCGAAATGCCCCGTAATTTTTATTTAATATTCAAAATGTCACAAAATATTTCAAGATAAAAATTAGAGTTTGGAAATCGAAAATTTACCTTTTTCTCTCTTCGGCTTCATTCGCCTTTTTCATAATCTCGGTAGATAATGTATCTGTGTCCTCTTTAAAAAGATCGTTGATCTTAGATTACCCAGCTTTAGAGAGGTAAAAAAACGTGCGACAAAAACTTGGTGAGAAAAAATACGTTTTTCTTGTTCAACTTGCTGCCGCTGATGAAACTTTGCACCTTCAATTCTAATGAGCTTTTTTCTTTGTTTCTTTTTGAATTGCCGCCATTCTTTACGTGGTAGCTTTTGAGCTGGTTTTTCCAAATCTATCTTCATAACCTGTACGATTTCGTTTGTAGAAGCATTTGATTGAGTGTCTTTCGCTCCTTTTTCTTCTGCTGGTGAAGAGGAAACTCCAGTTTTATTATGTTCGGATAGACTTTCTTGCTCGATAATCCCGTTAGTCAGTATATTGCCAGCAGAAGTCATGTTTTCAAGCGCGTTTTGATCCATTGGCTAAAGTTTTAAGCATAAATGCACAGTATTCACGTGAAGCAGCAAATGAATAAATTCGATTTGCAAACAAAAAAAAATGAAAAATGAATTTCGAAGACACCGATGAAGGATTAGTTATAATAGATTCAGATGGGGAATTTGCTATGCCTCCGAATGAAACACAGGAGGAAGACTCTAATGGCGGCGTCAACTATTATGTTCTCATTGAAAGAGAACATTCGAAAGATATTCTTTGGAGACAAAAACTCGGGGAGGCGCTGGCGAATCAATTAAGGGAAAAAAAAGGACAACAGATACGTAAGTTCACACACAAGAGTTTATTTATTTCCTTGCATTCATCTAACCAAAATTTAGGCTCGCGAGTATTGAAAGAATTTCCAAGTGGTTATTCTCTATATTGGCACCATTCGCGTAGAGATCGAACTGTTGACATCAGAAAAGATGCATATCTATATGGTGAGTAGAGAATGTGGTGCATTTTAGTGTATTTCCTGGTAAAATAATGAAATATGCACTTTTTATAATAGGGAAAATTAACTCTCCGCGTTTTCGCTCACCTAATGAGTTTGCACCACATTTGTACTGGCTTGCAACTAACAGAGAGGAACCATGCAAATGTAAATATTGTGCAAAACTAAAGACTACGCCACAAACTATTGTCGATACAAAAAGATCCAGAACAAAAATCACATCGACGGCTGTTGTCAAAAGTAAAAAGCCCAACATAGTAAAGAAAGAAAAGATTTCTCGAACATTTCGAGTCGGCGAAATCGTATGGTTCAATATAAGCGAAGCGTCAGATTCTAATTTCGCGTCAATTGCTGGTCTTATTGATCTCGATCATCATGTGTTACAATATTGGCCGTCTATTGTTCATCATTTTCAGCAACAATCACCACCACCAGGTACAGAAGGTGACATTACGTATTACACTGTCCGGCTTCTGGCATTATCAACTAGTGAAATTGTAATGGAAAAGTCACTGCGTCCTTGGCTTTTCTATCGATCAACAATTCCAACAAATACGTCAACAGATAGATTTTCTGAAGTCAACCAAGCTCAGTTGTTAAAGTATTACGAAGCCTACAAAATAGCGATCACTGCAGCAAATAGCGTAATAGAATCCTATTGCCCCAGGAACAATTACGTCTATGTAGAGTCAGAAGTAAGGTTAATGGCTGTTGATGAGCAAGAAAAAGTTCGTATGAAACAAATGACCACATTTCCACATTATCGTGAGATATTTATCGGTGCAGAAAAAATCAGAGAATGGGATTTTGTACGATTACGCCCTGAAAATCAGTCATCTTCCTCGGAAGGTTCATCATCATCAACGACAAATAATAAATCTGCAACAGAGAAAAATGAATATTTTCATGTTTCTACCATATATTACCATCGCGGAAAAGGAATTCAATTCACAGGAGATCTATATGAAATGGCTCTGCCAGCTATTACAGAAAACCCTCAAATCGAAGAACATTTCAATTGGATACCACTTAATGAAACCAATGAAGAATATACCATTGAACTATCAGATGTTATGGGTCGCTTCTACATAGATTACCCGAATCTCGATGATTCCATGCCTATACAAGCAAATAATATGAAAGATGAAAAGGGGCGCAATGAACTTTTAGGTGCTGAAGCACCTCCATTTGCTTCTGAACTAGAAGAAGACGAAAGTTATAATATTAACAGTAATCTAGAAAAAAATTATCAAGAGATTTCATCTTCACTCAAAGCACTCACGAGAAAGAGACCCTTGCAAGAGCCTCAAAGCAATCAACTCCAGAAAAAACAAAAACATGATGATTCCAAATCGAAAGTCAAAGAAAATAATGGTAAATCTATTGAGCATGTAATTGAAAGTAATAGTCATTCGAATGAAAATCCTTCAAGGGTTTCAAGTAGACGTCAGGAAAAAAGAAAGGTCGCGAGTAATAAAGAAGTTGAAAAATCAAATTTAGCTGGAACAACGCCTGTTAATCCGCCAGCCAGCATTTGTTGGTCTGGTAGGATTTCGTGGCCAAAGTCTGCAGACCAGCGGTCTCTGCAAGGGGCACCTTCATTGACTCTACGTATACCCAAAAAAATGTCTTGGAACTTTGGCATTGAGATTATGACATATTCAATACCAGTTGTTTCAACACAAAAACGGTATATAATGTGATTTATTGCTTTTAATCCTTTGTTCTTTCTGTTTGTTAATTAAATAATTTTCTATCCGTCATATTTTTTTTAGTAATATCTATGAATCTTTTCCGAGAAATCTGACCATTTCAGCCATATCTAACGTTGCGCCGTTTCAAGCATATGATCAATCAATGGGAGATTTGGTGTATTTCTTCCCGGACTCCAATTATCCCTTTCTTGATAATAATAACCTTAACTTCAATGTGTTAGCACAGACCTTGAAAGATAACAGCATCGTAAGTGATAATTAAGGAATATTCAGATCTACTTTTTGCAATTTTGTTATTAATAAGCATACTTGTATTTATTGTCGCGTAAAAAGTCAGCAGTTGCTTCTTCTGGAAAGCTCACTATCTTTTTTAAATCTGATGATGGTACCACCATAATTGGTCTTTGTTCTCGCGACCGCCAGGAATCAACAATTCAATCTAACAACAGCAATAATAGTAATCGCCCGGTGTCAAAGAACATACGGTGCTTTAATATAAAAACCAAGCAGAAAGTAACAATTGAGATATCCAATTTGAGAAGTATCACGGCTCTACTCCGCAAACTAGGCGAAGAATTCAACATTCCTCTGCAAGACTTGAAAAGACCCGAAGATGTTGTGTTGAGATTTCTTGACAAAGACCAACAAACGTACTACGTCCTTGGAGAACATGAACACCCCATCCGCGAGAAGAATTCTAAATTTACTGATTCTTTGGATTTTGTCAAAGAGCATGCAGTAAAATTGATAGTAGAATATGAAAGGCAAGCGTCAATATAGTAGTATCTCGAATAAAGAAATAAATAATTTTATTGATAGTGTCTGTCTGCTTTAGCTATATAGTTGTTGGTGATTTTATAATGTGTATATTTTGTATCAATATTCATTGCTTATAAATTACTATAATTACATAACTTTTGAAAAGATTTAATAAATAAAAATTTTTATTACGCTACATTTACGTTCACCCTGTCCTGATTTGTTCTCGAAGGTCCTGCTAATGACAAATTTGTCGCGCTTGTCATTTGCGGATCAGCTGATGTCCCGTCATCCTGGGTTTCCCTATCTTCCACTAGATCAGATTCGACAAATCCACGTCGATTTATAGAACTTGTAAATACACGAAAAAATGTGATTTAATAATTGAATAGTGAATAATTGATTGTTTTTTTTAAAAAAAAAGAAGATAATACCTGTGTACCAGAGGTCGACATAAAACCCATAAGCAATTTTTGTATGTACTGCCAAAATCATATTGATTCCTAAGTCCATTTCGACGCGCTAAAGGAGCACGAAGCTAAAGCAGTGCGATTCAAAGATTAATGCAAATATCAGGAAATACAAAAAATTGCATGATAGAGATTAACGCACCTGTTCATGCGTAGTCAAATTATGACTAACTAAATAAATATGATAGCCAGACAATCCACCCACTGACCACACTAACAAGAATGCTATAAAGGTTAATACAAAAGTGTTCTTTTAATCAAGGAAAAAAATTATTCCATCAAAAAAAATATTAATATCGCCACATATGAAAGGATATCTCATAGGTGCAGCCCTAAGTACTCCCAAGAAACTTAAATCGTTCTCTTTCAACAGTAAGATGATGTGCGCAAGGCTAAATCCGGCAACATAAATACACAATATCGTGGCAGTCAAGATAAACGTAAAGAAGCTGCGATAATTTCGACGACCAATACAATTGTTAAGCCATATACAATGATGATCTTCATTTTCTGTAATAATTATTCAAGAAAAATTTTTTCTTTATTATTTGGGAAAAGATGAAAATACGAATTCACACTACTAACCTACACAGTTATTACATTGTCGACAATGACTACACCTTGGTGGTCTGTATATCTTGCAAGTCTCGCAGTATTTTAACACCATACTATAACCATTGATTCTTATGTTTTTTGGCAACGGAAGGCTCCGTGTCGGAACATACGAATATTGCGATAGATTGTAATAATGATCGCCATCATCGAATTCTTCTCTCGGTGGTGATGGATCAAGATTACGTGGAATGATCTAATTAAATAGTATATATTGATAAATATTTGGACTAAATATCTTAAAAAAACATTTCACCACTTACTCCCGGATCGGTCCATGAAGTTATTAGCATACTACTTAAGGCTAACAAGAACAAATAAATAAACACAGCTACCACAGCTGGTGAAACATGTGAATATAAAAATGGAGCTCTAAGAAGTTGATTCAAATTAAATAAATAAACGAAATTTAATGAGCAGATTAAATTCAAAAAATACCCACGTAAATCGTAAAAATAGGGAGCAAGGTACCACCAACGCAAATACAGCAACCAAAAAAGCCGGAAAATCTCTACTCGTGATCACTCTTCCCCCCAGAAAAAACCTATTTCTGCCTGGCCATACTTGATACACGCGTTTCCGATTTTTACTATTGTCATTATTATCTGCGGATACAGTTGTTTGATTTGATGTATTGATTTGCGGACGCGTAGAAGAATATGGAATGGCAAGAAATGAATTTTGTGAATGCAATGGTGACGTTGGTGGTGGTGGTGGTGACTGCTTTTTATGTAGTGATAATCTGGGGGTGACATTGGATGGGGTTCTCGAATCAGAATTATGCTTTAAGGTGTTTGTTGATACATCTATTGGCTCTAGCACTGAATCTATTACTGCTTGTGGAATGTCTGTTCGGGTTTGACGCCGAGCTAAAAGGGCACTTGGAGGCGGTTCTGGCAAAGAAAAGTTTAAATCGCTTCCACTATTTGAAGCTATTATATAATCTAAGGATAAATCAAGTGTTGTGGATATCCTTGGAAGGGTTAGGCGTGCTATTCCTACTTCTTCGCTGTTAGATTCGCTCGATGTAGTTCCGACTACCGAGGTGAACGGTAATCTCATTTGAGATGATGTATGGTGAGAAGAACTGGGTGAGTTCAAAGTCGAACTACTAGTTGTCTTTCGCATAGCAGAAGCATTAGCATTTGGTCTTATAGGCCTCCTAGGTGTAAAGAATTGTTTCGAAGGCAACACATGCCGTGAATTGGACCGTGTACTCATTATGTTACAAATGTTTCTAGAGTTTTACTAAATTAAAATTGCTAAAGACGCGAAAAACGGTCTAATAATTCTATAAAACAAAAATGGTTGTCTGATACACAAAGCTGAAGGTCCAGCTTCGCTTTCTTTCACAAAAAGCAAAATTAAATTATATCAATATCGATTCCATCGGGTATTAATTACGTCGTTATTGTTATTGTTAAAAAGAAATCATCGTACATTAATGACTTCAATGGCAATGTTATTAGTAAAACGTTATCGTTATCAGTAAAGAGCTCGGAGCATCGAACGATCTACACCATATAGGGATCAATAACGCCCATTGTCTGGGTGGAAGTTACCCCAGCATCGCCAAAAAAATTCCACGCTCACGCGATCATATCATGTAACAAAAAATGTTAACGTTAACCCTAACTCCGCAACTCTTTGCGATTTGATTTCGATCAACACACGTGAACGTGAATTTTGGTTGGGGGTTAATGTAGTCATGAGGTGTAGATTACCTTTATAATAAATTGAAATCAGCTGTGTTTAAAAAAAATTGCGACATTTTATCGATAAAGACACGTATATAATTCTCTGCTGTTGGTAAAGGTAAAATAAACTTCTATATCTTTTAATTTCCCTGTTCTTTCCGACTTTCTCTATCCTTTTCGTGCTATTCATATTTTTCAAGTTAAATTATCACAATGATTAATTCGTCGTTATCATTATTATTATGTAAAGCATCGATTATACTGGTTTCCCTTTTATTCAAAGTTTTAATTGAAGCTTTTCCTCACGAACACAATAAACATTCATTTCAGGTGATAATAAATTTTGAATCACAGCAACATGAAAAAGAAATATCCATACAGACTATTGAATCCTCTTCTTCGATAACCACCACCACCGAAACAGGAAAATTCTTGCATATAACTGGTAAAAATTCACTAAACTCTAATTATTATGTACGTATCATCAAACTCAATCAATAAATTACCTTTCCACCAAAAAACCATTAATCAAAAAACAAGATTTACATTTTGATCCATTCTACCGACCAAACACTGATCCCGCGGAACTATGTCACCGCAGCTCGAAACAGAACGAGAACAACAGAGCGGGTAAATTCGGTACACTGAAATCGGCATGTGATATGCCGTATAGTACATATAATGAGACCCTGAGCTTTTTAAAGAGTAAATTTGAGAATCAATTGGATTTTGTGATTTATACTGGTGACACCTTGAGACATGATCGGGATGGCAAACAGCCGAGAACTCTTGATGAAACATTGTGGTTACATGAAGTTGCTGTTGAGAATTTCAGAAGAGTTTTCGATTTGGATAAAACACAATTTGTAAGTGAATGATGATCAATAAACCTTTCATTGTTTGTTTTTTATCGATTATTCTAATTTGTAATTATTTTAAAGATTCCCACAATTGGAAATAATGATTTATTTGGTAAATGTCAGTAACAAAAACGCCAACTTGCTGGTTTATCGTGTGAAATGATTACACCAATACGTGATTAATAAATATTTAAAAAATTTCCTTCAGATCACAATCAAATCAGCAGTGATCCCAACTTTTTATACCAAAGTCTCTCGAATATATGGGCACCATTCAACCTCAATCTAACGGAAGACTTTATACATGGTGGTTACTTTCGACACGATCTTGATAAATCACAATCATCCTCACAAGTTTCTCTGCCTCTCACTGTATTAAGTTTTAACTCGAATTATTTCCACAAGATGAATAAATTGGTGGCTGACTGTGATGAAGAGGATTCCGCGGGTGCTGAACAGATCGAATGGGCAAAGCAGCAATTAGCAGGTGCGAGAGAGGAAGGAAGAAAAGTATATATTGTGCAACATATACCTCCGATACATCCTGAAGGTATATTATATTATCGTAATAAAAGTGGGTAAATTTTTTTTTGGATAAACTGATTAATTAAAAAAAAATTAAATGCAAAGGTGACTTTTACCCTGCATGCTTACACGCGTATGCCAATCTCTTGGGAGAATACGCGGATATTATATCTGGGCATTTTACAGGTAATACTATCATTTACTAGACTGAATAAATCTTTTTTGCTATCGTTAATCATATATTAATATCATTAGGACACACAAACACGGATGTACTAACATTTCTCCTAAAATCGAAAAAGCACAATTACAAATTCTACACGCTAAAAGGCGATCACCAACCTTTACACATTCACACAGATAAAGTGATGCTAGAATTGCTAACTGCTCCGTCTCTTGTTCCTGGTAAGTAAATAAAATACTCTGCTCTCTTTCTCAGCAAACACAGTATTTTTGACTTAATATAAATAATAAAAAAGTAAACAACCCAGCAATTCGTGAATACACATACTCCACCTCCCCAGCTTCCCTTGGAAAACTCATCGACTACACTCAATACTACGCAAACCTAACACGTGCAAACGATCAAGGTGAACTGCAGTGGGAAGTCGAATATACTGCTAGCGAAGTGTACCATACAAAAAGCTTATCTACAGGGAGCTGGAAACACGTGTTGGAAATGTTTAAGGAGCCTAATTCACTTGCCTGGTCACATTACGTGAAATTTGTGAATGTAAGCGTGCCCAACTGAACTAATTAATAATGATCGTGACGTGCATTCGCAATTTGAGGATTATTGCAATGAATTCCAGGGAAATTAATAGTATTCGTGATCTTCCCGATTAAACAGTAGATCGTTCATATGTTATGTGAACATAGGCAAATCTTGATATAACGAAGGTTAATTAGTGAAAATTTAACACATCAAAAATTTCATTAGTTCAAACACTCAACATTAATAAAACATAGTTTGTAACTGCATAAAATAAAATCAAGATAAATTTAGTAGTGATGTGATACCGGGTCCAAAAAAAATAATTTTTCTTTATCTATTTGAAGATTATAGTAATCCATCCGTCTTTGAAATATTTTGTTGATTTTGAACGAGTTCATTACCTCTTTGCAAAGTGTTTTAATTTCATAATTTTGTTTCTTGTGCCTCGTTTAAAATAGAAAATGCAAATCTTTGTAAAGACTCTCACAGGCAAGACGATTACCCTCGAGGTGGAAAGGTTGATTATATTAAATTTTTCGGACATTCTTAATCCAATCGTTAATTAAGAACTTGTTAATTTTAACGTGTAGTTCTGATACCGTTGAAAATGTCAAACAAAAAATTCAAGATAAAGAAGGTATGTTTAACAAAATTCAATTCGACATTTTTCGACTGATATTTTTTATTTAATATTTTCATTTTTTTTTTCCATAGGAATTCCTCCGGATCAGCAACGCCTAATTTTTGCTGGAAAGCAGGTTCATTTCTAATCCGATCTTTTGTTCGTTTAAAAAGATGGACAAATTCATTTTATTAATATTTAACAATCAACACAAACAGCTGGAAGATGGTCGAACTCTCGCTGACTACAACATTCAAAAAGAATCAACCTTACATCTCGTGCTTCGATTACGTGGTGGTCTCATCGAACCGTCGCTTAAAGCATTAGCTTCGAAATACAACTGTGAAAAAATGATTTGCCGTAAATGCTATGCGCGACTTCCACCCCGTGCTAGCAACTGCCGTAAGAAGAAGGTAATAAATAACATAGCAGATATTTATGCTCATATTCATTGTTAACCATTACTAATTATGTTGAATTGAATCGAATTAGTGCGGTCATTCCAACCAACTACGTCCAAAAAAGAAACTCAAGTAGATTGAAATTACTCGAGAAAAGATTTTATGGACATACATATATGCAAGGAATTTCACTTCTTTTATAAGATTAATCATTGAATTGCTTAGCAAAACTAAATAGTATCGTAAAAGAATAGAATGTGCTTTATTATAAATAAATTATGTCTATTCGTTCATCCTTTAATAATTAATTGTATCAATTATTTACTGCATCTCATGATTTCATTAATTCTATAAGACCCAATTCGTATTTGACTTGATCCCCCGTTAAAGTGGGAGGATACTGCATAGGGTCCCCCCTAAACGGTTTCAAAGGTCTCAATAATTCATCGCTTGCAATATGCAGGAAGAAAGTCGACGAAATACGCCAAAGAGGTCGATCCGGACGCGTAATTTTTACCTTTTCAATAGTCTTTATTTACAAGCATAAAATGTCTTAATCATCAAGAACAATATAAATTTTTAATATTCGCAATGGCAACAATCTATTACTTACCTTGATCGTGTCTTCAGTCACGACTACTTCATGATATCCAGCCATGACTTCACCACCAGTTAACCATTCGAGTTGCTTACCTGCTTGAACCAATAAATGTCCATCGGGTACTCGAACAGCAATTTTTTCTGTGCCGTTTCGTGGCCATATATTTAATCCGGGGAACCGTGATTTGCCATGAATTGTTCTGCAGTATTTTATTAGAGAAAATATTGTTATTGGAAAAAGTATATTGTCGTAGTGTACCAAAAAAAAAAAAAAAAAACAACTCACAAAAAATTCAGGTCGTAATGAAACCCTGAAATGAATTTACAAAAGACTTTGAGTCAAAATTTTTTTGTTAAATAACGAGACTCAATAAACAGACCAGCCAAAACAGTCCCTATTGATCCAAATTTTTCAAGATCACTTGCAGTCGGTGCAAGCAGATGAGGACCATATTTAGTCATGTCAGGTAACGTATTCGCATCCATGCCGAATCCAACTGACGCCATTTCTGTGATGCCCAAGACCGCTTGATGCAATTGAGTTCCCCAAGTATTCATGATCTTTGGCCATTCATTTTTGAATGCTTTATCCAAACCGATAAACCAAGTCAGAAAGAAAAACGCTAAATAAATTAACAAACCCCCGCGCAAAAATTACCGGCTGGAATAACCGGATCTGCATTCAGTCGTGGAAATTTGGTTTGCTTAGGTTGATCCCCAATTCGCCAAAAGAATCTCCATTTCGGATCTGGTCCTTCGAATTTCAACGGTTTGTCCGAAGCTGGGATCTGTAATTGTTGACATCACTATTATTTACGTATTTAGTTGATATTGCAAAATTAAATAATGGACCTTTGCAATAATATCCTGACAATGGGGATCTCGATGGCATTTGGGTTCTTCGGTAAATTCGGGAGTGACTCCAACTTGATACCCAAATTCTGGACGTGCATCTTGTAATTTAATCTTTAAAAAAACAAGAATTTAACGATCATGTGTTGAATGCATTATCGTCAAATCCCAACAATAAAATGAGTAACAAACATCGAATGGCTGTGCAAAGTAATCCTCAATTAAATCCTAATCAAAAAATAGCCAAGATCAATAACAGCAGATAAAATGAAATTATGTATCTATTCATAAAATAAAAACCAAGAATTGCGCATTATCTTCCTCAGTTACACGTGGATCTTTGACCAGTAATGCGCCATAATCGCGTAATGCATTTGCCGTCTAAAACAAGATCAAGACGCAAAATTGATCATTATTTTCAAAGAAACGAAATCAATCTATCAATGAATATATTAGGAAATTTATTTATATTAAGAAACCTTTTTGCACTCTTCTATTGCTTTTGTTGAATTTTTGTCGTTTATGTAAAGGCCCAAATTGATGATAGGCAAAATAAAGGATGTGTTTGCCATAATTACTAAGACAATGGTTATAGGCCGTTTATAAAGACAATTTGGATATATATCACAGTTGATTCTCTTTATAATAAAGGCCCAAACAAGTTTATTATGGGAGCATTAGATATAGTGATATTATATAAGAATTTAGGAAACACATGTGACCCTATACGAAAAAAGAGACCGGTTAACATTAATTTAAACGCATTCTCTTTTTCCTAGGTTTGTTAATGCCCATAAACAAACTTATTTTCATCGTTCTTAATTCATCTCTTCCATTATATAAAAGGTAACGTATTTTTGGCTTTTTAGAAAACATAAAAATTTATAATGAATTAATTAGTAAAAAAATGTAATCTAGCAAGTAGATAACGACTTACTATATTTTTTTCATGTCTGTATATTTCGAATTCCTGCCTGACCCATGTTCTAAGTTCTTTAGCAGCTTGTTTGTCATCCATCCCTATTATTAATAGCGCACAATTTGTCAATAAAGACCAGAAATTAATGAAGAAACAATATGTGCATACTTGCATTCTATAGTCAGTAAAATCTCCTTATATAATTGTATTACTTTAGACTTCATTATGAACTACGAAATGATTTAATCGTTTATTAGTTAAATCAACTCCTTTAAAATGAAATCATAATACAGGAGGAGATTTATTATATCGTACATGCTGTAATGTGAGATCATCCTCTTTCAGTTTCTCCTTTAGCATCTTACGTTCTTTTCTTGTTTGGTGTGATGTGGTGATTATTTCTGTTGGTGATTGTGATGTGGTGGTTATTTCAGTTGATGATTGTGATGCGGTGGTTATTTCTGAGGTGGTTGCTTTTTCTGCTACCGATTGTTTTGCTTTTTCTACTATCCATTTTTCTACTTTTACTGGTAAATTACGAATTTCCGAAGTAAAAATCGAACCAAGTTTTTTACCTAAAGACATGATGAAAAATCTAATTTATGAATTGTTTTCATGTTGTTTTGTGCTCAATCAAAAAATTTTGGTCGATGACGTCACAAGACATTCAAATTTTTTATTCGATGTAATAAAATTAAATTAAAAATATTCTGATCTTTCAATATTCTATTCTGGCCCAGCGTTTATATAAGAATTTCATTATGAAAGCTATTTTTCAATATTCTATTCTGGCCCAGCGTTTCACATAAGAATTTCATTATGAAAGCTATTTTTCAATTCTTTATGAGGCAGTACGATACAATTTCGGATTATGATCTCATCTTTAACAACTACTTCTTTTGCTATTTAAACAAGATTTAATACGTCATTAGAGAGAACTGAAATTTAACAAGTACATAAGTGGTAAAAAAAGATAAATGCTCATACCTAGAATAGTAACAGATTGTACTTTCACCCCGTTCTGAGTAATGGTCGTCGAATAATTTGTCGTAGGAGTCCCTTCAACACGCGCCCAAGTTCCCACTTTTGAATCCCATCCGATGATGCTATGAAGAATACAACTATTGTTTTTTATTTCGGCGTTGTCGAGGATTATCGAATCCTTGATCCGTACACCCTTTCCGATAACAGCGCGTGGTCCTATGGTCACATTGGGGCCAATCTTAGTAATGATCAAGAAAATCAAAGAGTTAAAGTGTAACACTTGAAGAATAGTTTTGCCCTTATTTAAACAATCTTAGATAAAGTCAGTACCTTTGAATGAGGGTCTACAATAGCAGTTGGGTGAATATACACGTGCCCTACTATCTCTGGTCCCTGGCCGTCTATACTTTTTTTCGTTAGTCTATCGGGACATGTTTTCGAGTATTGTTCAAGATAGAGCGCATTGGCCGGAACTGCAGAACTAATAATATCAAAATATTAATCGATCATGGCAGCAGCATAAAAAAAATGGCATCTACTTTAAATACCCAGCCGTCTTGATCTGTCTCCAAAATTCTTGAGTAACATATACATAAAGTTTTTTTGACTCGGCCAAAGGACCAAACAAATCTTGTTCTAATCGAAGTTTATCATCCTGATCTTGATAAGGACCTTGACTATAATCGATCCATATCAATTGGTTATGTCAAATAAAATCAGTAATATCATTCTCTAACTGGATCAAGATGAAGTTTCAACAAAAAAAGGATACGTTGTCTTGTTTAACATAGCTTTTTTCATTTCATTAAATACAGCACAATCAAATAGATATATTCCACAACTGATCAGATCGGAAATAAAGCTCTCTGGTTTTTCGACATAGTGTAGTACTTCATGGCTATCTGGTTTCGCAACAAGGCAACCAAATTTATTGGCATTTTCTCTAGCTACCTAGTAAAATATTAACATCAATATTGACAATTTAATAAGTGCAATTTAAAATATGATAAAAATGGTAATTTCACATACTTTGGTCCCGAGAATCGTACATAGCCCACGATGTCTATTATGAAACCTCATCATATCACTGAGCGGGAAACTACATGCCACGTCAGCGTTAAGGACAAAAAGTTGTTGTGGATCACCGCGTAATATTTCGTCTCGAAAGTGATAGAGACCTCCTGCAGTACCCAATGCCTGATACTCACGAAGATAACTGAGAAATTTCGAGCAGGATTAAAATATTATTAACTAAGAAAAATCAAAATAAACTGATATTGGACGTACCGCACATTCATCTTTGGGAACTCTCGTGCAGCATCGTCCAGGAATCTCGCCATCACCGAGTCTTCAAAGAAACCAATTAACATCACCTCTTTCAAGCCTTCCACTTTAGAAAGTGCCTCCAGGTGATGCCAAATAATAGGGTGTCCAGCAACAGGAAATAAAGGCTTCGGGACATTAAGTGATAGCGGGCGAAAACGTGTGCCCCGTGAGGGACCACCGACGAGAATGATGGCTTTGCAAGTCATTATAGTAGTGAAAAAGTAAAGATGTAAAGTAATGATATCGATATCGATATCATCAATTTTAAATTAAAAATTCAGAATCTGCATAACGGTAACCTAAAAAGTTGAATATCTAAATTTACGGTGTTTAGTTAACGCATTGTCTAACATGGATAGTACATACGACTACCCATTTTTAACGCGTGGTCAATTTGAACTTGCGGCGAAAGCTTTTGTTGGACAGTCACTTAAAGCTGGTGAAGATCAACCTTGGGCTTGGATTGAACACGAGGTTTGAGCTCAGGCATACCATTTCTTTTGATACTTTCTATAACACATTAATACTAAATAAATATTGATTGACAAAATTGAAAATAAAGAAAGTAAAAAATTTTGGATATTTATCGCAAAAATCCGTGGCAAGACGTATTTTTACCATTGAGGAGAAGGAGGACTCTCTAATTTCAATTCACGAGGAAGACGGTGGATTTGCTGGATACGAAGAACCAGATGATCCAAGTGTACTATTTAAATTTATTTTGAAAAAATTCGTCTCTCTATTTGATTCGGTGAAGAGAACATTTAAAATGCTTATAATACTGAGATTTATCAGCTTCATAGGCGATTCCTCCTGCATCATCAATCTCACCAATAGCACAAAACATACAATCTCCACAAAATGATAATTCTTCGGATCAAGTTAACAACATCCATAATAATAATGATAATAATAATAATAATATTTTGCAATTACCAAACGAGGATTACTTGACAATTGATTATCATATACTTTATTCCCCAACGTATAAAGTACCTGTTTTATATTTTAACACGTATAATGCTGGTAAGAATAATAATTTTTAAAAAAATCACTTTTACGCGAATTCATACATGATAATTACAATCTCAATTAGACGGTAGTATACTGAAACTTGATCAATTATATACAACTCTCATCGAGTCTTCGCGTCTCAACGATTTACGAACGGCGGGATTCAATGGTGGATTATCACAACAAGTAAGCTTATTGGATTCCTTGGCAATTAGGAAAAAAAAATTAATTAATCATCGATCCCTTTTTTCCTCTTGGATCCAAAGGATCATCCGACACTTCAACTCCCATTTTTTTTTCTTCATCCATGTGAAACTGCCACACTAATGCGAACTATTGCACTCGCTCCACCTTCAACTGTCGGTGAGTCCGATTCTCGAGGGACTAACAATAATGTAAAAAAAGAATTTGCAGGAATCCTACCAGTTGAAGGGTATATAAGAAGTTGGCTGAGCTTGGTTGGCCCGGTCGTTGGTACAAAGGTTACGCCTGGTTATTTTATAGATTAATTATTTAAAATTTATTTATTTGGAAATCAATTTAAACGGCAATTATAATTATTTCCAAATTAGGTCATTTTTAGTCGAATTTTACTCTTAAAATAACACCATATTCGTCTTTCACCAATCAACATTTGTGTAGCCACCAGGATATGTTCGTGCGATGTATCTTCAACCATTCAATAATCTACACAAAAAGTTCTGACTGCTGGTTCCAGAGAAATTTTTTTGTATTTGGACATCATCTCGGTCCTCTCGTTTTTTTCTGTTTCTCACTCACTGTGTACACTTTGCATTCTAAAGGAACAACAACCTTTTCTACATAAACTATAGATATAGACTTGTATATTGTACCAGCCGTTATTCCATCATTTGACTACTGCCACCACCATCCTATTAGCATACCGACCTACCCGGTTGTTGTCTGTGTCGCGGACTCCATTAAAATACCACCTTTTCCGATTGTCGGAAAAAATTGCTGCTGCTTTCCTTAAATTCAACATTTATATAGCGACACTCTACCAACATGGGTGGAACAGTTTCGAAAGGGTTAGCAAAGATCTTTGGAAACAAAGAAATGCGCATTCTTATGCTCGGTTTGGATGCTGCAGGCAAAACAAGTACATTTCTGTTTAGATTATCTTGTATATGTGTAGAATTTGGAAATCCTTTTTAGTTATGGATGTTGGTGCGAAAATGTCCTTATTACGAATGTATCGGTACTCGTAATCGCTGCATTCTGTAAGGCAACGCACGGTATTCAGTATCTTCTTTTATAATATCCTTTGTAGTGATTGAGTTTATTTGCTAATATCTATATGATTTTTTTTTCTCTTAGCCATCCTTTATAAACTAAAGCTGAATCAGTCGGTAACGACTATTCCGACTGTTGGTTTCAATGTGGAAACCGTAACATACAAGAATGTCAAATTCAATGTTTGGGTAAGCGTGTTTCCCTCAAAATAACAATAATGAAATTATTTTTTCATAATTTAATAATCATAATCTAAATCATAATTAGGATGTAGGTGGACAAGATAAGATTCGCCCACTATGGCGTCACTATTACACCGGCACGCAGGGTCTAATTTTTGTTGTTGACTCGCAGGATCGTGACCGAATAGATGAAGCACGTCAAGAGTTACATCGAATTATTTCAGATCGTGAGATGCGGGATTGTTTACTATTAGTTTTTGCGAATAAACAAGATTTACCAGGAGGTATAATCAGAGATATTGATCAAATCCTGTTCGTTTACCTTAAGTAATCATTCTAATATTTTTCTTTAATCTATGATATAGCAATGTCTCCTGCTGAAGTTACTGAGAAACTTGGTCTACATCGTATGAACCAAAGGTCTTGGTACGTACATCCTTCATGCGCGACCAGTGGAGAGGGTCTTTTCGAAGGATTGAATTGGCTAAGCCAGAACGCCAAGGCAAAATAACAACAACTAATCATAAGAATACATTATTTGATTTTAAATGATATAATGGAGGATGAGGATGACAATGACGATGACGATCACGATGACGATGACGACGACGACGACTACGTTTCATCAAATATCAAAACAAAGATCCATGTCCAACAACAAAGTTGCATTTTTTTTTGAACTTTACCGTTGAGCTGCATTATTTATCATTTTATCATTTCTCTTTTATTTTTTTCTATATATATATTACCTATTATCCCAACTTTATGCTAGTTGTACGAGTCTAATTTTTTACTTTTACAATATTTATCATTAATATTCACCATTTCGGATTCTTCTATAATGGATCCTTTCACCATTCGATCCGATCAAAACAACCAACCAGACATAATCTGTCGATTTCAGATTATTTTATATATATATATACTACTTTAAACTAATTTTCATTACGAGTATAGTAATTAATTTTTCATATTGATGTGTGCAAGCAAAATTACATCCCATTTAAAACATTCATATATATATACTACAGAAAACATATACAACACACACAACACATCATATTTCACAAAATGAACTTAATGGACAAGCCTTATTGTTAATTTAAGATGAGGGCTACAAGATTCCGCATTCTATTGTTAATAAAATAAAGTGTTTTTATTCTCAAGGAAGTTACTTTGGAAACTCCGATATTAAGCACAAATTCTATTAATAGACAACATATTCGTTGCCACTCTAATACACGTGCCCTCGATTTTCATAAAGTCGGGATCGTTTTAATTAAATTCAATAATTACCTCTGAATACCCATTTTGCAAAAAAGTATCCTGATGTAATCCATTCTTAAACTCCTTCCGCGACCAGATTAAAGATGGTAGCCACAATTACTATGTTGCAACACTATATGTTGCAACTATATGTTGCAACTTATTAAAAAATTTAATAAAAATCGCAACTTGCCGCAACTTATCGCAAGTCGCAACTTGTCGCAACTTGCCGCAATTTGCCGCAACTTGTCGCAACTTGCCGCAATTTGCCGCAACTTGTCGCAAGTCACAACTTGTCACAACTTGCTGTAATTTGCCATAACTTGCTGTAACTTGTCATAACTTGCTATAACTTACTGTAACTTGTCACAACTTGTTGTAACTTATTGTAACTTGTTATAACTTATTGTAACTTGTTACAACTTCCTATAATTTGTAATAACTTGTAATAACTTGCTATAACTTGTTATAATTTGTTGTAATTTGTTATAATTTTTTATAATTTGTTATAACTTGTTGTAACTTACAAATAATTTTTTAAATAAATTTATTTAATAGTATATTATAAAT